GTTTTGGGAACATTAAAATCTGGGCTATCTAAAGTTTCTACCATAGAATTATTGTAGAAGCTAAACAGGGCAGGAATTAAAATACATCCATCTTTTCCTTTTCTTAACATTTTTGAGGGCAATTGTGTGAATGTATGCCACTGTTCCTGAATTTTATTACCAGATGTAAGACTGCTACAGGCCTTCTATCTAACAATCTAACCCTAAATAAATATAAATTAACTTTCTCTAGAGCCCATTTTAAAAAGTGTACGTTCTGCTGTAGCTTTTTGGTGTATGGAATTCACGAGAGGTCCTAGCCTCAGAAAATTTGCCCTTGTGGCTCTAGGAAAATTCTTGCCCATCTCTTCATTATTTTTAAGTGATCTTAACTCTTTTCTTGTGGCTAAAGGTGTGAAATACCTTTACAGCCCATAGGACTGTGCAAAACCTTGACGTAGATGTGTTGTTGTATTGTTTTATTTTAATTTCTTGCGATAGGTAGATGTAGTAATTTATTTTCTTTCTCTGAGAACAGTTCTGTTAAATGTCCATGTCCCTTTTTATATGTACGTAACACTGTCAGAATTGGAGAATGTTTGTGTAAAAACAAGGTATCAAGTTACGAAGAATTCTTTAGTCAAGTCAGATTTTCCTGATTGTTTTCTGTGTTCATTGTCCATTAAAAGTACCACTTTCCTCCTACCCATACAAGAAAAAAGCCATGTACAAGTGCCTCTTTCTGTGGTATTGCCATGGCTCTGAAACATCATTTCAGTTAAATCTGCCATGCATTCGCTTTAAACATTTTGCACAAAGAAGTAAAGCAAAAAGATAAATTGGTTTAAAATCTGATCTTTATACCTGATGGAACACCCCCCTCCCCCCGCATTGCTCTTCCTTTCCTATTTATATCACTTCTATTCATTACTTTGACATTTATATAACAACTGATTAATTTTACTGGTTTTTGTTTTGTGGGTTTTTGTTTTGTTTAAGCTGCTATTATATGAAATAGAAGAAAGGAATATAAATTATTCAGTGTTATTATTTTTATTCAGTTGTCCAAGTAATTGTGACCTTTATAAGCACATTGTGACTGGAACTTGTATTGGTCTCTTGTAACAACATGATTTACTGTTGCTTTTATCTGTCCTTTTTTTTTCTTCCTGTCTTCTTTCCTATTCTTTTCTTTTTAGGAAACCTTAACAGGGAAATATGGAGAAGACTCAAAGCTCATCTATGATTTGAAAGACCAAGGAGGAGAGCTGCTATCGCTTCGCTATGATTTGACTGTATCCTAAGGCCTGGTATTCCTGGCATAAATATAAAATGGCAAGAAGGCATTTTGAATTTACCTTCCATATTCTGTGATCAGAACTATTCAAGCTCAGTCCATAGACGGTATATGGAAACATTATTTTGATAGTTTAACTTGTTGGTTAAATAAGTTTTCAACTAGAGATGAGGAAAGAAGGAAGAATATATAAGTTACAAAAAATCTTGGGATCCATTGCTAAAGTATTCCATTTCTGAGGATTATTTTCACAGCCTGCTTTTACAGAAAACTATGAAGTTGCTTAATTACATGTAGGCAGATATATATCCACTTATATGAGAGCATGTTCCATTGTAGAATATTGAAAACAACTTTAGTGAGATTTACTTCTGAACAGAGAAGTAAAGACTGAAGTGGCAAACCAAAAAGAAGGAGGGAAGACCATAATGATATTTTCTTCTGGAGTCTTTAAGAGAAATGGCTGAGCCCTCTACAGTGGAGAGACTTAGATCTTTCCAAGAAGTTTGCTAAATAACATGGTACCTACTTGAAGCCATATTTCAAGCTCCTTAGGAGGAACATAATAGCACATCTCTAGAAAGGTACTTAAGAACAAGATACCTCTCTTGCATTGGTGAGATACGAGTTATATCCAAAAATTGAGGAAAGTTCGTAGGGTTACAGCTTCTTACTTCAGTCCTGATTTCCCATTTTGCTCCTCATGCATTTTTTCCTTTTCTGCTAGTGTTTCAGTAGTTCTGAGGACCTGGCTCTTTGTGGACTTTAAACCCAGTTTGTTATTCTGCCATCTCTACTCTTTTGTTGGTGTTGGTGTTGTTGTTGTTTTTATTGCCTTATTTTTCATGTTTTAAATCTTTTGTAAATCATTAAATCATTTGTAAACTGCTGGGAGTTGGGTAGCATATCAGTTTAAATAATAATGATTATGCCTTTGAATTATGCAAAAGTCTCAGGGATGGGGTATCTTCCTTTTAGGATTTTTAATCGTTTCTGCTTGAGAGAGGTTATTTAGCAGTACAGGTAGTTCTCGACATGACTACAATTGAGCCCCAAACATCTGTTGCTATGCAAAGCACTTATTATTTTTGCCCCATTTTACAACTTTTTTGCCAGAGTTAAACAAATAACTGCAGATGTTAAGTGAATCATGCAGTCATTAAGTGAACCTGGCTTCCCCCATTAACTTTGCTTGTCAGAAGCCAGTTGGGAAGGTTACAAATGGTGATCATGTGACCCTGGGACATGCAACTGTCATAAGTATATGCCAGTTGCCAAGCGCCCAAATTTTGATCACGTGACCATGCGGATGTTGCAAAGGTCGTGTGAAAACCAGTCATAAGTCACTTTTTTCAGTGCCGTTGTAACTTTGAATTGTCACTCAGTGAATGATTGTACATTGAGGAATACCTGTAAAGGTTTTTAGGTTCTCCCCCCCCCATTCTAAATAGTCACAGAAAGGAAGAGGTTTGCCTTAAGATTTCAAGTGTTCTCCTGAGCCTTCTTTGTCCAGGTGCCGTTTGCTCGTTATTTGGCTATGAACAAAATCACCAACATTAAGCGTTACCAAATTGCTAAAGTCTACAGGCGGGATAACCCAGCCATGACGAAGGGACGTTACAGGGAGTTCTATCAGTGTGTAAGTACATGCGAGCTACCATTAGATTATATACATGACTAATTGGCTTTCTCCACAGTGGGATCCATAGCTCCATGGTATTGCATACAAATGTGGGTAGCATTTCCTAATGTTGCAACAATTTTTGCCTCCTTAGTTTATGTGATCATATATTTGGAGAGTTCTGCAACAAACCCAGGGATAACAACATTGTTTCTCCTTTTATCTTATCAATTTCCATGGAACTTTTTAGCCTTTTGTGGGAGTATAGCCATGTGCAATGTACATTTATACTGAGAGCAGATCATTCTACAACAAAGAGACCGATATTGTTCTTGTAGATGCAGCACTTTGGGTATTTAATACAGATTTCAGTTCTTTCTAATTTCAGATACATGGTAATTTTTCAGTAGCATTTACATTTCTGATTCTATGCTCTATATGTCGTATATCCGTTATCATAATTACATGTATCCATATATGTATGTTAAGGTGGTAGGCGTATCTTAATTTAAAAGGAAGAGATAAATTGCTTACCTGGTAATGCTAATGTGATTGAGATATTTATAATTATCCAGCTTAATAGCTGAACTTTTTCCTGACAGAGGCCAGAAAGATAATACCCTAGGTGTTTATGAATGATGCTTACGTTTTCTTCCCTTTTTCATGACTTTTATTTGAATTTGCAGCGGAATAAGCAGCCATTTTACCTCTTAAAGTGCTTTTGTAAATGAAAAAAATGGGCCCTCTCTTTGGGAGATTGCAATCTGTTTTTAAAGTTGTAATGGGTGCCTTAACCTAAACATACGCGCATACTCTGCTTGAACACACTCACTCTGGAAAATGTAAGCAAGTCTTGAAGGGAGGAGGTTAGGTTTGCCCACAGAGCCATGAATTTCTCATACTTGCTGCAAGAATGTTTATTCTTCACCCAGTGACATTAGAAAAGGCCTCTTGAGTATAATTTTCTCAGAATAAGTGATAGTAATACAATGCAGTATATAGATGTCTTTATATAATAACCAGATACAGGGTAGTCCTTGATTTACAACCATTTGTTTAGCGACCATTCAAACTTACAACAGGAATAAAAAAAAGTTATTTATGACTGCTCCTAACAATTACATCTTTCGCAGCATCCCCATATTCACATGAACACAAATTGGATGCTTGGCAATTGGCATGTATTTCTAAAGTTTGCAGCACCCCAGGGTCACATGATCATTTGCTCGCTTCACAGCAGACCTCCAATGAGCAACGTCAGTGGGGGAAACTGGATTCTATTAACAACAACATGGTTCATTTAACTGCAGTGATTCACATAACAACCATTGCAAAAAGGCAATAAAATCGAGCAGAACTCATAACAATTGCCTTCCTTTGCAACAAAAGTTCTGGTGCCAATTCTGATTCTACATTTAGGACTACCTGTATGTCTTATTCTAAAGTTTTATTGTACTATTGCAAATTATAGTCTCTCCCCCCCCAAAATTGTATAAAGGCATCTGGGAGTTTCTCATGTAAGATCACACTGTGTGTACATTTATCTAATTATGTGATAGTAAGAGAGGTGACTATGATGAAAAAATGTTGGTGTTTTCTTGATATAAACGCTTAAAATTAACTAAGGAAGTATATGAATAATCAGAATCTGGATATGGGTATGTTGGATATGGGTATTTTTCCAACTGATGTGACTTTTTACACTATTATATGCATTATTATGTGTAGTAATGGTACTATATAAATACAGGTTTAACACAAAGTCATTTTCAGCAGTTTGTGTTCCATAAAACTATTCAGTTTACATTTAGCCTTTATATTCATAATGCTGTCTTAATCTTAATTCCTTTATTTACATTTTGCACTTTTTCCTTGTTTGCCAGATTTTAAGTAATTTAAGATTTTACTTATCATGATAAAGGCAGTCATTTCCATTACTTCTTCCCATAAATGGTTAATCTGCCAGTTGCGGAGTAACCATTTTTCTGACTTCTTCCAGACATTGCCGAGGAGGCTGGGAAGCCATTGCTTCCTTGTTTTTCCTTCCCCCATGAATGCTGTAAGTCCATTTGGCAATCATCAGAGAATGTTTACCCATTCCCATCCCTTTATGGTCATTTTTCAGACTCTTCCCTATGATTATGGATGGGAGGAATTAGAGAGAGACAGATGCCTAAAGAAACCCCATTCTTGTAAGCTACTCTGGGATTTATTTATTTCTCTGAAAAATGAAAGGAGAGAGCCCTCCAGTAATAATTTGCATTACTGGAAGATGTAGAAGGCTTAGCCTCAAACAATTCCTAGTTGCATCAGTGTGTGATGTATGTCAGATCCTAGAGGTTTCTGCTTTTCTGATAGCAAGACTTGGAAAGATAGCTTCTATATACCAAACAATGCAGCACCAACGTCTGATTCACTGCTGGATAGCTTATACTTCAGCAATTTTCTTATCTGCAATTTGTAACTCAGGATTTTGACATTGCTGGCCATTATGACATCATGATTCCTGATGCAGAGTGTCTGAAAATTGTGCATGAGATTCTATGTGCCCTACAAATAGGAGACTTTCTCATCAAGGTGAGTACAAGACCTGGGTCAGAATCCACTTTTTTCTCGCAGTTATACTGGTTTTAGCATTAGAATGATTATAATCAATTGGCATTTGTATTTGCTCTTTCATTTCTGGCAACAAGTGGTATACTTTAATCATTGAGACATATTTTTAAATCTGTATGTATTTGGCAGCAGAATTGTCCACATTAAACTATTGCTGCTTACTTATAAATACTGATATCCCAGCCCTTCATTTTGATGCTCCAAAAAGTAAAAGAAGTTCTGAAAGGATCTTAATTCAAGCACAACTTCAGCCACAGAAGCTACAGTACTGGATGATTTGGAACCAGTTCCATGTCTCAATCCAATCTACCGCACATAGTTGTTGTAAGTAAATTTTGAAAAAGGAGTGTTACAGATATTATTTTGAGTTCCTGGGTGAATCTACACTGGATATAAAAAGTCTAACCAACCCTATTAAAATGCCAGGTTTTGGGGATGTAAACAAATCAGCCCAAGATAAATCACTTCAGAGATTTTTCCATCTTTAATGCAGCATATAAGCTATACAATTCAATTGAGAAACACGCTGAATTTTTTAAAGGGGGGAAATAAAAATAAAACTTACAATAACATGGTTGCATAAGTGTGCACACCATCTTAAGTAGGGATGTGGATATGTTCAGAATTAAACAACCGCATTCAAACTGATCTTAAATAGCCGGTACACACCTTCCATCACTTAATGTGACTCTGATCAAGCCCATGTAAAGTTCAGTTGTTCTAGTAGGATTTTTCTGATCTTTACTCAGATGCCTCTTGCAGCAAATCCCACAATTTGCAAAGACCTTATGAAGCATCAAAGGGATCTCATTGTTGGAAAGTATCAGTCAGGAGAACAGTACAAAAAAATATCCAAGCCATTGGATATACTATGGGACATACTGAAGACAGTCATCAACAAGTGGAGAAAATATGGCACAACATTGACATTACCAAGAACTAGATGATCCTCCAAAATTGAGGAAAAAACAAGAAAAAAATTGGTCTGGGATACTGCCAAGAGTCTACAGTAACATTAAAGGAGCTACAGGAATTTCTGATAAGTACTGGTTGTGTACTACATATAACGATAATCTCTTGTATTCTTCCTATGTCTGACAGAAACCTTTTCTTACAAAGAAAAACATCCAAGTCTGCTACATTTTGCAAAAACCTATATCACGTCTGAAAAGAGCATGTGGGAAAACGTAGGTTGAATTTTTTTCATCATAATTCCAAGCAGTATATTTGATGCAAAAACATTGCATTGCCAAAAGTAACACTATATCCACAGTGAAGCGTGGTGGCAGCATTGTACTTTGAGGCTGCCTTTCTTCAGTGGAATTGGGGCTTTAGTCAAGATGGAGGGAATTATGAACAGTTCTAAACATCAATTTTGCACAAAATCTTTAGGCCTCTGCTGAAATACTAAAGATGAAGAGGAAATTCACCTTTCAAAATAACAGTGACCCAAAAGATACTGTACCTCCAAATCATAGTGCTTGCTTCAGCATACTAAAATTGGAACAATACTTCCAAATCAACAAAAAATATCAAAAGTTTTAGAATGGCCCAGCCAGAGCTTGAATCTGAATCCAATTGAAGCTCTGTAGGGTGATCTGAAGAGACCTGTGCACAGGAGATGCTCTCACAATCTGACAGATTTGGAGCGCTTGTGCAAGGAGGAGTAGGCAAACATTCCTAAGGCAAGATGTGTCACGCTGATAGGCTCCTGCCCCAAAAGACTGAATGCTGCCATAAAATCAAAAGGTGCTTCAATAGAGTATTAGTTTAAGGGTATGTACACTTATGCAACCACATTTTTATAGCAATAGCACTTAGACCTATATACAACTTCACAGTGCTTTACAGCCCTCTCTAAGCGGTTTACAGAGTCAACACATTGTCCCCAACAATCTGGGTCCTCATTTTACCAACCTTGGAAGGATGGAAGGCTAAGTCAACCTTGAGCCGGTCAGGAACCAGGAATCGAACTCCTGACAATATGAGCAGAGTTAGCCTGCAGTATTACATTCTAACCACTGTGCCAACAATTTTATTGTTTTTCCCATTAAAAGATTTCAGTTTGTTTTTCAATTGAATTGTACAGCTTGTAGGTTATATTAAAGGTGGGAAAAATTCTGAAGTGATTTAATTTGGGTTAATTTTTTCACATCTCAAAATCCTGGAATTTTAACAGAGGGTTATAGACCTTTTATATCCACTGTAATTAAAAAGCATACAAATAAGTAGTATTAGATTTTCCAGAAAGCTCAACATTTTCGAAGACTAGAAATAAAAATAGATTAAACATCCAGTAACCCTAACCCTAGTATATGGTCCAGTGAGAAGGACTGGAATGACTGTAAACCAATGGTCTAAGGTCCAAACTACAAATAGTCCAGGAATATTACCAATAGAATCAAAATCTATTGGGAAATGTTGCTTGAAAACATCTCAATTTCCTTCTAGGTCAATGACCGTCGTATCCTTGATGGGATGTTTGCAGTCTGTGGGGTTCCAGATACCAAATTCCGGACCATTTGCTCCACTGTAGATAAATTAGACAAGGTAAGAACTTTACTATTAAGACAACAAGATAATAACTCAAGTGACTAAAAAATCCAGAATAAATATATATTCATTGATCACGAAATCTCAACTGCATTATTGTGGCTGCTGTTACAGAAATTACGAGAGGAAAGAAGATAAAATTTAACTTCAGTATTCAAAAAGATAGATCAGGACATCAGGATGATCCGTTAAGGGATCAGGGACCACAACTTAGGTTCCTGACCTTCCAAATTACTTCAGAAAGCCAAAATTCAGCTACCAAATTTCAGTGCTGTTTTCTCAGAGTGCTGGTGGTAGGCTGTTGATTGACTACCCCTGTTTTATAGACAAAGAAAACTCATAAAACAATCCATTCTAATCTAGAAGCCTTGCAATGAGAAAGAACCCCATCAGGCAGAAATATTTGAGGTTCTGATTTCAACAAGATAACTTTTAATGAAGGAGTTGATGAAACTCAGTAAGACAGATCACAGGGTCCTGATTTGTCTCCCAGTAGAAATAAGAATTCAGAGAACCAGCCTGAAAAGTTTGTATTATATCCAACATTTATTATTTAAGGGGAAAAAATTCAACTCTATAGATTTAGAATGAGCAGGGATAAAAGAAGGGATATTGATTTCTTTCAGTGTAGCTGAGCTATAGATCCAAATCCTTAGCTTAGATAAATGGTTCCCTTAGCCTATAGAGTAATTCTACCTCCTGACCGACAATTTTGAACTTCAAGAATGCAGTGAAACCTAAGGGGGCAAAAGGAGATTTTGAGAAATATGTGATGATATTTGATGTCAAAATTATATCGGTACTTTTTTCCAGAGTGTCCAGTCTCAGTGTGTTAGTGTTAGTAGAGGTTACCAGATGAGGAATCCTTTGTGCTTTCTGAGCTTGGTTGTTGTCTTGCAGACATTTCATTACTCAAATTAGATAACATCATAAGTGCACAGTGCATTCAGAGAGCACCAAGGATCCCTCATTTCAACCCTGAACTACAAATATTCTCCTTTAAAGGTTATCAGATATTACTAAAATAGTGCCTGTAAGTTCTGTATAGCTAGTCCTCGACTTACAGCAGTTCATTTAGTGACCAAAGTTACAACAGCATTGGAAAAAGTGACTTATGACCGTTTTTCACACTTACCGTTACAGCATCCCCATGATCACGTGATCAAAATTCAGATGCTTGGCAATTGACTTGTATTTATGACAGTTGCAGTGTACCAGGGTCATGTGATCCCTTTTGTAACCAGCAAAATCAATGGGGAAGCCAGATTCACTTAACAACCGTGTTACTAACTGAAAAACTGCAGTGATTTACTTAACAACTGTGGCAAGGAAGGTCGTAAAATGGGGCAAAACACACTTAACAAATGTCTCACTTAGCAACATAAATTTTGGGCTCAGTTGGGGCCATAAGTCGAGGACAACCTGTATTAATCATAAAATTATACACTTTTATTTCTCTGAAGATAGGCCTTTATTATTGTTATTGGTATTTATAACTGATTTATTATTAGTTTATATCTCAAAAACTATAATATTTTAGAAAATCGTGTTTAACATTAACATTTGAAACAACTTTGTCATGTAGTTAGGGGAAGGGGATTGTCTGTGGATGCTACTGGGAAGAATACATGTGTCATAAGACCCATGGGTACCACATTGCAAACCTTGGCTTCTGTGGTGATTTTCAAATGTTTATGGTGAGTCTTCCATAGCCTTCCATTTTTTCCCATGGCTATGCTAGAAGATTACAGATGCTCCATCCATTCTATAAAGCCAGGAAACTCCTAAAAACATTTTTCTCAGAAGTGGAATAAGTAATTATTTGCTCTTTGAGAAGGGTGAAAAAATTAGGAGTTCATACATGGACAAATTGAATTTTTAAATTACAGTCATGCCAGATTTGGGGAGGTTTTAAGTTCTTGCTAAAGTGTTGTAAAGAATTTTGCAACCTGTGGCTGAGATGGCGTCCCATTTTTTCTTCAAGCTGAAAATCTATTTTTTCTTAGGGTCACCATATATTTAAATTTATTTATTTAATCAATTTATATAGCCACCCATCTCAGCAATGACACTCATTGGACAATGATTACAGTAAAAAATACATATAGAAATAGCAATAGGATTTAGACTTATATATTGCTTCATAGAGCTTTACAGTTCTCTCTAAGCAGTTTACAAAGTCAGCATATTTCCCCCAACAATCTGAGTCCTCATTTTAACCGACCTCGGAAAGATGGAAGGCTGAGTCAACCTTGAGCCGGTCAGGATTGAACTCCAGATTGTGGGCAGAGTTAGCTTGCAATACTGCATTCTAACCACTGTGCCACCAGGGATCCTACAAAAAATAAAATACATAACTGCTGAGAAAAACAACAATCATTTACATAGCTAAGAGATGCGCTTGCACTGCACCCCCCCAGCCATTCGTGCAGCCTCATACACCCTCCCCTACCCAGCAGGAACCACTTCAAGCTCTGCCATGCTTGTGCCTCCCTTGCTACCCATGCACCCTTCCCAAGCCTTGTGCTTGTATTACACCTCCCTGGACACTCACATATCCTCCCAGAGCCTCACTGCATTTGCATCATGCCTCCTCAGCTACTTATGCACCACCACACACTTTCTCCCACCTGACAGCAGCTACGCCAACCCTTCCTACACTTGTGCCATACCTCCCCAGCTTTTCACGGATCTCCTCAAGCCTCAAAGCACTCATGCCATGTCTTCCCAGCCGTCTGCAGACTCACACCTACTGGCAGCAGTCACCCCAAATCCATTCCACATGCACCTCCCCCACTATCCGCACACCCTCCCCAAGCCTTGCTATACTCGCAGCATGCCTCCGCACCCTCCCTCCCTCACCCTGGCCTCTTGTCCCACTCAGCAGCCACTTACCCACCTGCCAGCCTGCATGCAATCCACCTGGGACTTGCAACTTCCTGCCGGCTTCCCCACTGACTTTGTTGTTGGAAGATGGTGGGATTTGTGAGGATGTGCTTGCTTAACAACTCAATCCTCACTTAACAGCAACAGGGACTGTAGAGATTGATATTGCTAAACAATGTAGTCATGTGACATGCTATATGACCACATTGCTTAGTGATGGAAATTGCAGTTCCAATTGCTGTTGTAACTCCAGAACTACCTGTATTTCTCCAATTGCAATAATAGTGAAGGAAATTCATGTAGTAGCATTTCTTTATTTTCTACTGGCAATATTACTTCTGCCAAATGAGATTCTTATCTCCTGTCTCTTTCACTTTTGTTCTCTCTCTCTCTCTCTCTCTCTCTCTCTCTCTCTGTGTGTGTGTGTGTGTGTGTGTGTTTAGAAATAAATCTTTCTACAAAGAGAAGCCAATTTTCTTGGGAGATATAAATCTACTCTGTGGTAAAACTCTGTGCTGTAATACAGTCAGGGTTTATGGCAATGATAGATTTGATTTCAAGATAGCCTATAGTCAGATTTGAAGAATTATGAGAGCTAAATTCAAATAAGAGGTTATTGATTTTATAATTGCTATTGTGTCTTACCTCCTAGAAATTCAGAAGGCCTATTCATTTTCTTTGTAATTAGCTTTGCTTACTTGACAGGTAAAAATATAGAGGTAGCCTGAATAGATGAACAAGCTAAAATTGTAAAGGCTAGAATTGTAACTCTATTTAATAGCAACAGGATCCTAATAAATTAAAGAGAAGTTATCAAGAACCTTGAGGCCTCTGAATAGCCATTCGTTTTGTAAAATCCAACAAACTTATTGAGAAGTGGTATAAAAATTATACTTCCATGTAACTTAACAATTAATATACAGAAAAACAAGACTATTAGCTATCCTTCATTGATCTGTCCATTTCTGTTTAACAATATAAATTGTTGACTATCACCATTTTTGATGGCAATAAAGTCTGTAGTTTCCACTTTGTAAAACAATTATCAAATTTAACAGTCTTAAATTTTATTGGATAACTTCAAGTTTAATATAGTAAGAGATAAAGCTTTCCTATCCATATTTTCTATGCTATGCAATTTCATAAACTTCTATTAGATTATCCTCTTATCAGCCTTTGTTGTAAACTAAAATGGCCCAAATATTCTAGTTTCTTTTAGGGTAGGGTAGCCCCTAATTATTTTTCTGCACATTTCCCAACTTTATTGTATAGCTTTGAGATGCAGTGACCAGAACTGAATACAGTATTCTAGATATAATTGCCCCGTATATTTAAAAGGGTCTTATTATATTGGTTGTTTCATTTTTTGGTCTTTTTTCCTAAAGATTCTATTTAAAGAAATATTTTTTTCTTTTATTCCCAATTTTTGCATGTTTTTAATAGAATATTCGGAAATTACTAGTTTACTAGACTCAGAGTATTTAGAATCAAAGTAGAAAAAAACAGGAAGAAACAACATGATTCCAGATATAGAGTCTTATTATATTATCTTTGTAGGAAGTGACTTCGTCTCATATATATCAAAACTAGAACAGATGTCTACCGAACCCTTCTACATTTTTTACTCTACCAACCTCTCTTCCCTAACCGTGGTCTTTAACGTCTAGTATAACCACTTATACATTCCGATGTACCACTCATAGTCTTGTCCAGTCTATACAGAATCAACTCTAAGGCTTGCAGGCCTAAAACCTATATCATTTTCTTCTATCCCATTGCTGGTTAAAGTGATACGTAAGAGATTAAACAAGAAAATAAGAAGCCACATAATGGGAAATATACTGGCTGTTTGCTTAGCACACTCATGGCTACCAACACTAAAGCATTCCTTTTGATGTGTATTCCCCATTGTATGCTTCTTCACTCTCTTGTATTCCTTCCTCTCCAATCTCTCTGCTCTGTGTGGGGAAAAAAAGGGGGGTTGTACACAGGACAATGCATACTGAGTGTAATGGGGATCACGTGAGTGAAAGAGAGATGCAGTAAAGATCATAAATGCAAGCATAGATCGCAAAGTTATTTTTTCATCATCCTCATCACTTTCAACGCTTGCTGCACTAGGCAGTCAAGTCAGGTCTATTTGTATAAATATAGGTGGCCCTTGCTTAAGATCACTGGTACAGCAACCATTTATTTTACTTTATTTTATTATTTTTTATTATTTTTCACATTTCTGAACTGTCCATCTCCCTTGAAGAGGACTCTTTGAACATACAGTTGCAAGAAAAAGTATGTGAACCCCTTGGGATAACGCGGAGTTTTGCATGAATTGGTCATAAAATGTGCTCTGAATGTCATCTAAGTCACAACAATAGAAAAACACAGTCTGCTGAAAATAATAATACACAAACATTACATGTTGTCATGGTTTAATTGAACATAACATGTAAACATTCACAGAGCAGGGAGGAAAAAGTATGTGAGCCCCTAGCCTAATGACGTCTCCAAGAGCTAATTGGAGCCAGGAGGGAGCCAACCTTGACTCCAATCAGTGTGATGATATTGGATGTGTTGCTGACAACTGTCCTGCCCGTTAAAAACACACACTTGTTATGGGTTTACTGGTTTCAAGAAGCACTGTCTGATGTGAACCATGCCTCGCAGAAAAGAGCTCTCAGAAGACCTACGATCAAGAATTTTTGACTTGCATGAAGCTGGAAAGGGTTACAAAAGTATCTCCAAACGCCTTGATGTTCATGTGTCCACAGTAAGACAGACTGTCTACAAATGGAGAAAGTTTAGCACTGTTGCTACTCTCCCTAGGCGTGGTCGTCCTGTAAAAATGACTGCAAGAGCA